CCACCTCCCTCCCCTCTAGAACCCTCAGTTTGTTTCTCAGAGTCCATAGTCTCTCATGGTTCATCTCCCCCTCTGATTCCCCCCCTTCATTTTTCCCTTCCTGCTATCTTCTTTTTTTACATATAATGTATTGTTTCAGAGGTACAGGTCTGTGATTCAACAGTCTTACACAATTCACAGCGCTCACCATAGCACATACCCTCCCAACGTCTTTCACCCAGCCACCTCATCCCTCCCCGACCCCCCACTCCAGCAACCCTCAGTTTGTTTCCTGAGATTAAGAATTCCTCATATTAGTGAAATCATATGATACATGTCTTTCTCTGATTGACTTATTTCGCTCAGCATAATACCCTCCAGTTCCATCCACTTGTTGCAAATGGCAAGATTTCATTCCTTTTGATGGCTGCATAATATTCCATTGTATATATATATCACATCTTCTTTATCCATTCATCTGTCGATGGACATCTTGGCTCTTTCCATAGTTTGGCTATTGTGGACATTGCTGCTATAAACATTGGGGTGCACGTACCCCTTCGGATCCCTACATTGGCCATAAGATTCTTATCACCAAGAAAGGACTAGCTCGTGCTCTGAAGCAGATTCTCCCTGTAAAACAGGCAGGTGGACTCTTCATCAGCTTCAGCTGTGAGGGTATCAAGGGAGGTTATCAAAGGAGGGTACCAAGGGAGAACTCTGAATGAAGTTTTTTGTTCTTTTCTTCCTGAACAGAAAATGGACAAAAATAAAGATGGAGTTGTTACCATAGATGAATTCATTGAAAGCTGCCAAAAAGTAAGTAATGGTAGTAAAGAAACTGTCCCTTTTGCTTTCATAATAATCAGACTAAGTAGAGTCAGCTAGCCACCATGAACTGAGCAAAGCACAACGCTGACCTAAGTTTACCACTTGTACACAGCTAAGAGAAGCCTACCACTCTGAAAACAGGCATCAATTTATAATTCAATTAACTAACATTTATAGAGTGCCTACCTTGAGGAGAGCCATGTAGAAAGCCCTAAACATACCAATGTTACACATATACTGCATTTTTGTTTCCTAATTAGAGAGTCTTCATCACTGAGGGTTAAAACATATGTGAGATTTGAATTGCTCTTTGCCCAGACTGAGCATATAACATATTATCTCTATAGATTTAGAATTCCAGTACAGCAAAGTATACATCACAGGCAAAGTTTGCATTCAATTTCTGAAGGAAACATATTGCTTTAATGTATGAGCACCAGAAATGGCTTTTCGGTTGAACCAGTAAAGGTCTTCGGTCATAAAAAATAAAGAGTGGAAAATTCAGAGGAGAAATCCAAATGGTTTTCCATTATCTGGTGGGAGACCAGTTTTAGCTTACCTAAAACTATTTGATTTGATGCCTGGGTAGAGCCAAAATTAAGAATAAATACTTAAGATAAATGTAGAGACAATGAGGTTTATTGATACTTCAGCTTTTCTCTTTATTTTCAAATTGATATACTTTCCCTTTCTTGGTGCCTGCTTGCTTCTAAACTCATATTTCGACGTGGTGGTCTTTAAGAGCGTTAACTTGGTGACATCAACCTGCTGATGCTGTTCCTTGGCTTCTAGCACCAGAAGTCAGCACAAGTTTAGCTACTCTTTACCATTACTATAAACAGTTCACCAAGTGCCATTCACAATCTTCAAGTGCCTCTATAATGCTCAAAGTCTGTCCCCTTGTTTCTAAGGAATATGCTAAATTGAACACAGCCACTGGCCCAAGGTGGCTCTCAAACAATCCCTTCTCTGGCGTTTTTAAAGGCTCCTAAAGGCCCTACAGGCCCCAACAGGCCCTAACAGACCCAAAGAGAGAGGTGAAAGGACTATAGACATGTCTCCCAACCTCTAATCCTCAATGGAGTTGCCTCTTAGCTCACACACAAACCCTGTTTCCTTCTACACGTACAAGTCTCTGTGACTTGGCCCACGATCTACCTGGAATGCCAAAATTTGCATTTGCTCACTTATTTTTGGTCTTACCCTTGGCGCCTCTCTAGTTTTCATTCTGCCATTCCAATTTGAGAAATATTTTCTATTAACACCAAGTGAGATTCAAATGAAATATTTAAAGCCTGCAGACTCAACAAAAGGTAAAATGGGCTCTCCATACTTATCTATATGGAAAATGGATAGGATGATATTTATATTTGCAAACACTTAGTATTCGAGCTTTAGGCCTAAGCAGTGGTGAGAGAGGCGGTACTTAGAGGCAAAAAAGTGTTCCTTCCCTTACAGAGATACTTAATTTAATCCCACTGTGTTTCTCCCTTACAGGATGAAAACATAATGCGCTCCATGCAGCTCTTTGAAAATGTGATTTAACTTGTTAAATGCATCCTCAATCAAAAAGACAAATGTGAACTACTCTACCACACTTAAAGTTGGAGCTACCACTCTTAGCATAGATTGCTCAGCTTTACACTGAGGCATATTATGCAAACAAGCTTTGTTTTCCCCAAAAGATCTGAGTTTTCCAGTTACAAATTTGCATCCTTTTCATAATGCCACTGAGTTCATGGGATGTTCTAAGTCATTTCATACCCTGTGACTATTCAAAAGTAATAGAATCTGGCATATAGATTTATTGATTCTTTAGCCATGGGATTATTGAGCTTTCACATTATCAGTAATTTTAAAATATCAGTGTTTTTTGCTACTCAACTGGATGTATTCAGCCCCAGGATTTTAAATGGTTTTCTAAAATATTGGCATCTGCATTTAATTTCCAGAAATTAATTTTCATGTTTGTATGCTAGAATTCCATTTATACACTAAGTAAACAAAACAAGATTACTATAACTAAAAAACAAACAAACACACAGTTCCAATTTCTATGGATTTGCCACCTTCTGTTAAAGACATTCATTTATCTGGCATTTTTTATAACATGAAACAAATTAGTTCATCACCAGATGTCAGCATATGCCTAATAAAGCTTATTTAATAAGCATTTCTTAATTTTTCATAATACATATTACAGCCAAGGCCTACATGATGTATATAATTTTGGATTTGTCCAATTCTACAGATTGACTGTTTTCTATTGTGTCATTAAGTGGAGGTCCAAGAAGGTGTGGAACAAAGCAAGGATGTTTATAGGCATATGCAAAGGGTCAAGATATCTGCCCTCCAGTACATGGTTATTATTAATGCCAAGTAATTTCTAACAGCATTGAAGGCCTATTCTGCCCCCTTTCCCTTGACTCCTTCAAGGTACCTTTCTTTTACATGCCATTCAGGGCCAAAGAGACCTGGACTACCCCAATGCCTACAGGGAACCAAGAGCAAGCAGAATTCACTTTAAAACCATCAGTGAGTCCATTCTATCAAGAACTACCATACCAAAACCTCACTGAAAATGAAAATAAATGCCAAGCAATTCATCTGGACTGTATTATGATTTTGCTCATCATAAAACTCCAATAATTCAGATTCTTTTTAATGATCATAAGCCAAAATTGTAAAGTTGCCACAACACTACTAAGGATACACACACCCTCCCTGTTTTGCAGAAATCTCATAAAGACCAAGAGGCTACAGTAGGAGGAAATTTGCAACTGTCTTTGCAACAATAAATCAGGTATCTATTCTGGTGTAGAGATAGGATGTTGAAAGCTGCCCTGCTATCACCAGTGTAGAAATTAAGAGTAGTACAATACATGTACACTGAAATTTGCCATCGCGTGTTTGTGTAAACTCAATGTGCATTTTGTATTTCAAAAAGAAAAAATAAAAGCAAATAAAATGTTTATAACTCTACTGTCTATGTTATAGGTATTTATTCCAACAAATTTTATTAAGTACTAGATTAAAAATATTGTTTTTCTTACGGCATTGTAGGATTGTACATATCTTTGCCTTAGGGTGGTGCTAAGTACAATGAAGAAAAGTAAAAGCAATGCCTGTGGGCAGGCACACATTTTAGCTAATAGGATCTGAGGATGTGACAGGTGAGTAGAGACCTAAGAAAAGAATATCCCAGATAGGAGGACCAGGAAGGACAAGAACTCTGAGGGACGCATGGGCATTTCTGCAATTATGATTCTTCAGAAATTACTTGTACTCTTTTAAATTCCAGCTGTGAGACTGTATCTGAAATGAGAATTACAAAGAGGTCATTCCACATATTTGAGGGATGGAGCAAGGAAGGTATTCTTCAGTGGTGCTGAGATATATATAATATGGCTGTTCCCCCAAATAAAAGAGTGACCGCTGATCTCCGTCCCTCCAAAAGTATGTCTGCTTTGGATTTGGTGTGACTACTCATGTCCCTATGGCCTCCCTTCTTGCCCATAGGATGGAAAATCTTATTCCTGTTTCCTCTTTCTCACTCTATTCCTCTCTCTTGTAGAATGATCCAGGTTCAGCTTCTATAATGTCATCACTGAGAACTATGCCTGTAAAGTAGGTTTTAAAAGCTTTTTAAATTAAATTAATTGTTAAACATAAGCAAACACAACAAAATCTCTGGGTACATTTTAAGAGTTTTAAGATTTTAATTTCTGAATACCTTCATGAAATGAGTATCAGACTATGGGTTACAAAAATAACATTTACTTAAATATAATTAAATATAATTAACACCTAAAGTTCAGGTAGTTTTAATGAGTTGTAATAAATAACATATTTACAAAAGAATTTACACATTTTAAAAAATGTCTTAAACTAGAATACTCTGGTATGAAATTCTTCCAAGTATTCTATATCATAAAATACATATTTACAGACAATAATTAACAGTGAATTCACAAATGTCTGTCCACTACTCTAAATTTCCATAGCCTTGATAAATATAAAACCCAAGAAATGACAAAATATTTAAAAATAAGTGCATAGCTACAAACTGATTGTGAAAGGGATACTATAAATAAAAGGCACTGGAAAATAAATACAAACACATCTATTATAAACCCAATAATGGTTGTTTGCACCAAACTGTAAAAATATGAAAAACCAACCCCACAAAATTGTACTATCATAGAACTGTTTTTAATAGCTTTCCATCATTGACCATTCTTTTTTTTGTTGATGAATAACTTTTACTATGATTCAGTGGAACTGTGTATACTCATCTTAATATAGGAAATAATGAATGGTGACTGTGATTGACAAAAGAATAAACGGAAGTGAATCTGAAAAGGTTCCCTAGGTACCCATGGACAGCATTTAACACCTGTCACCAGGGAGTAACAAGATTTTTGTGGGCTCCCTTCTTCAACAGCATATGGAGCAGTATGTTGGAATTTTAGATTTGATGATGATAAGGCTTCCCTGTCAACAGAAAAAAAATTAGCTTCATTAGTATTGTGTAGGGTTCCCCTGATAGGTATTACATCTATAAGAGCATGCCTAAAAAAGTATCTGAAACTCAAAACAAACAAAATGGAATGAGAACAAAATGATGGAAGGAGAAGTGGTACTTTTTTGTGAGTTGAGTAAAATATAGGTTGTATAGGTTGTCTCTTACTAATGTTTTAAAAAAATATTTAATTAGAGAAGTAGTTAGGAACCAGATCACCAGTATATGAATCCAGCTTCTGTCAGTCACTTCACTGTCAAATCTGGGTCTAATTATTTCTGAGCCTCAGTTTCTAGATCTTTAAAAGGGGATAATAACAAAATCTACCCCTGAGAGCTGCAGTGAGGATTCAATGACTTTCATGTCCAAAAAGTACTCAACTGAGGGGCGCATGGGTGGCTCAGTTGGTTAAGCATCTGCCTTCGGCTCAGGTCATGATCTCAGGGTACTGGGATCAAGCAGGTGTGGGGCTCCCTGCTCAGCGGGGAGCCTGCTCGTCCCTCTCCCTCTGCCCCTAGCCACCACTCATTCTCTTTGTCTCTCTCTCAAATAATTAAATAAAATCTTTTAATAAATTAATAAATAAAAATAAAAAGTACTCAATTGAGTCCCTGACATGTAATCACTTCCCACGTGCTCAATCAAGATTGGGGTGTGTCCAAGTATGTACCTTTTCCAAGACAGATGTGCCTATGACTTAGGATGAAAATTATATCAAGGTAAGAGTGAACTGACTACTATTTAAGGCAGGTAGTAAACTGATCAGTTTTAAGAAAATGACACTGTGCCTGGAGCTGACTTTCCTGTCTTCCCAGAGGCTGAGTGTCTCCATCATTGGTGGACACACAAGCCCCAAGGAATGAGAAACTGCAATACTGAGAAGACTCTTTTAAAGACTCATCTCTATTTATTTTAAAAAAGAGAAAGATATATAGACATTTAAGTTTTTAGTAGAGAAAAAAGGGCATTTGTTAATTTCATGAGGGATTACAGAGTACCAAAAGCAAGCATAATGGTCATTAGGCCACCAGAAAGTGTGATCAATTATTTTATTAATGGTGCGCCAACAGAAAATCTCTGATCAAATATTATTATTAAATTATTAAAATATCATGTAAGACATTAGATGAACAAGAAGAGAAAAAGACTGAAGGAATAAGCAATACTTAACTTCAAAATGTTTTTAATTCTGTCTGTATTAGCAGGATTCAAAACTAATGAGACTGAGTGGCAGTAAGAGTAACTCCCTTGCTAGCTAACCCTGTGGCCCTGGGCTGGAGATCGACATCCCTCTGTGTTCCCCTCTAAATCTCAGAATGCAATTTCTGAAGTTTATTTACTTGAAGACTATGCCCTCCTCTGCACATTCACCCTTGGAATCTAACATGTTGGGCCTGTCCCTTTTCTCTTGCCCCATTCCACAGAATGTGTGAAAATATCCTGGGGAGAGTTTCAGATTGAAAGCTGTGCCATCAATATTTAGCATCTATTTACTTGCATTTCACAATGACAAATTATTTTGCATTCCAATTCTCAGAAGCGCATTTGCAAGCAAAAAGAATTTCCTTTCTGCTGAGAGACACTGGATTGGCTGGGGGATGGTTGTGTACATTTCAACAAGGTGTCTGAATGCTAATTCTCCACACAACAAAGAAATCTGTTATCTAGTGGTCTAGGGACTTACTTCTTCCTCCTAAACTTTATTCTAGGCATTCCTCATGGAAAGAATATAATGTATCTTTTTTTTTTTTTTTAAAGATTTTATTTATTTATTTGAGAGAGAGAGAGAGCACATGAGAAGGGGGAGGATCAGAGGGAGAGGCAGACTCCCCGCTGAGCAGGGAGCCCGATGCGGGACTCAATCCTGGGACTCCAGGACTGTGACCTGAGCCGAAGGCAGTCGCTTAACCAACTGAGCCACCCAGGCACCCAAGAATATAATGTATCTTAACAGTGACCGGAATTGGTCAAATTAGGTAATCTAGACAAAGCTTAAACTAATACAACTGCCATTTTAAAATTGTATATGATCACACAAATTATTTTCTATATAATTCCTTTAGAAAGTACCTCCGATGAAACTAAGTTCTTCAGTGTTAAAATAATCACATGCAAGCCTATCATTAAGATCTGATTAAATGTAATCTCTAAAACAAGGTAGAATCACTGCTTTACAGAAATACTTCCAAGACTAGATTATGTGAACACTTCTTTAAACGATGAAAATTCAATTAACTTAGTTATTTGACACCACACAGATACTAATGAGAGCTCCCCCATTCTTGCACATTCCTACAAGTCAGAACACTCGGATTCATTCTTGCGTGTGTATGCGTGTGCATACACGTGTTCCTGAACATGTGCACTTCCAGACATGGTATCACAGCCATCTGGAAATCTCATTTAATCTTGGAAGATGGGAAATTTGTAAATTTTTTAGACAAAAAAGATGGCAAATGAAAGAAAAAAAAAAGTACATTCTTCAATGAGCTCTTTTATATTAATCCTTTTGTTTTCTGAACTTTCCTATGGTCTAGGCAAAACATCCAAAATAAAAAAAATTGCAAATCCTCACTCACATGGAGTGTCGTATAGAAAGCACAGAGAAAGTGTAGGGGCCCAGCATTTACACAGTCTGGTCTGAATCCCAATGCTTACAAACTGTACACCTATGCAAGACAGAAACTCCGAGCTCTCAAATGAAAATAATATCAACTCCACATGATTACTTGTGGCTGAAATAATACACGTTATACAATTTTGTAGTGTAAAAGTAAAAAAAAATAAGACAAGGAATAATGTTTTACTTACATTTCCACCATGCTGCTCTAGCTTCTGTAAAGCACTGGTGATTGGCTCTTTGAATTTCTTATCCCTCAGTCTCTTGGAAAGCTTTTAAAGTAAGATTGGGAGAATGAAATGATTTGAAAAGTAACAATATTCACCATAGGCATAAGTAAAACTTCACTAAAAAGTATGCTAACTAGAAATAAAACCACTGAGACCTTTCTGTATAGAAGTATTTATTATAATATTAAATATACTATTTAATATGTTTTAGACACCAAGGCTTCTTTTAGAAAATATCTCGTTGAAACTTATATATATTAGACACCATATATTTGTTAAAAGAGAATTCATATTATTTCTTTCAAATTGTACAAATCCTGTAAAACCTGCTACAGTATGGTATCCAGAGTAAGTTTTCTATGAAACTGCGTACTTTTCCATTTTGTATTTTGCAAGAGCACTTGGAGGACCATGATGGAAAGCGAAGCCTCTTAAAACACATGTGTTTCCTATAGTGTAAGAAAGGGAAGAGACAAAAAGGAGAGAGCATTCACATGAACAACTCTGTAACAGTGACAGTTAGGACATTCAGACTACAAACCACAAGACCACCTGTCCCTAGGCATGGCTTGAATGGGCTTCAGGTAGAAAGGTGGAAGTCTGACTGAAAAGGGAGAGCACAAGGTGAGGGAGGATAGAATCATAGGAACAAAGAGGGAAAAACAGCAACTGAGATCATCAGGCACAACCTATAATACTGTTCTCCCACCAAATGTCTACGTTACTCAACTCCCCCACTAAACATTTCAGCCTAGAGCAGGACGTGCTCATGGCTCCACTTTCTGGGAATATAAATGAAGCCCAGGCAAGAATTAGTCAGTGATCAAATACTTATACGGGCCTGTCCTAGACTTGGTTTCTGGTTCTTCCTCTTCACACGGATGGAAGAAACCGAGGACTGCTTCCCACCACTGAGCATTGAGTAGCAATCCCTTCAGTCAGGTCAATGAAGATGAGGGAGGGTCAGAAAAATCCCCAAAAGAAAAAAAATGTGATGGGGCACCTGGGTGGCTCAGTCGTTAAGCGTCTGCCTTTGGCTCAGGTCATGATCCCAGGGTCCTGGGATTGAGCCCTGCATCAGGATCCCTGCTCTGCGGGAAGTCTGCTTCTCCCTCTCCCACTCCCCCTGCTTGTGTTCCCTCTCTCACTGTGTCTCTGTCAGATAAATAAAATCTTAAAAAAAAAAGAGAAAAAAAGAAAAAAATGTGAGAAAAGCAACTCTAAATGAGAGGACAGGTAGCCCTGTGGATGGACAAGAAAAAGTGCCTCTTGGGGCACCTGGGGGACTTGGTCAGTTGGGCTTCTGACTCTTGATCTCAGCTCAGGTCTTGAACTCAGGGTCATGAGTTCAAGCCCCTCATTGGGCTCCATGCTGGACATGCAGCTTACTTGGAAAAAAAAAAAAAAGAAAAGAAAAGAGAAGAGAAGAGAAAAGAAAAAAGAAAAAGTGCCTCTTGCAAAATCAGATCTCTGGTTTGCTTTCTGTAGACCCCATTACCTGGGAGCAGTGGCTTATGGGCAGATACATGAAGCACCACCTCCAGGATCACCTGATATACTCATTCAAAAATTACAGATTCTAGAGTCCTACCCGATACTTACTTAACCAGAATCTCAGGGCAAAGGCCTAGCTTCTGCATTTTTATCAAGATTCCCAGGTGATTTATTTCCTCTTTCCCACAGGGTCAGTAGAAGTTGAGTTGAAGCTACGAAAGGATTTGACTTATTTTGAATATGAGTGAAATGATTTGTATATGGGCTCAGTAACTGGTTTTGAAATTCTTTTTCTAGTCAAGGAAACCCTTCAAATAACATCTAATGCAGAGGTCTATAAACAAAAAATATGTAAATCAAAATGGAGTCTTTCTGGCTAAGAGGGGTAAGTGAGGTAAGGAGGGAGTACCAAAGCACCTCAATGGATCCTCAGGGGTGCCTGTTTCATGGTGGTGTGTAGCTAACAGACCAAGATTTAATCCCACATGGCCTATTGCCGAGGGTCTCTCTTCTATGGAATCCAACCGGCATACAAAGGCCAGTGTGGTATCCAGATCCTCCCCAAAGTGTTGACACTCCAGGAAGGTGAAAGGCCCCTTTAAGTCAGTCCGGTGTAAGAAAAAGCAGGGTTCTGGGGAGGAATGTGAGCGACCAAACATTAATGCTACTCCCCCAGAAAAATTAAAACAAACAAACTTACGTAGTTTAGTTGTTAAACTGGCCTTTATCTTTCTGCACTGGTGGGTGGGACTGGGAGGCTATTTAGGAAACAGAGGTTCTTGGCCTCGCTCAACTTCGAGTGCGGGGAAGGATCCAGCGTGATTCCTTTTCTCTGCATATCACATCCCCTTCACCTCATTCCAACCTTCTCAGTGGATATCCTTGCTACTTATTTCTCCAAAAAACAAAAACCGATCTCCACAAGGGCAGAGGGCATATCGTTTTTTGTTCAGCATTATAGTCCCAGTGCCTATAGCATAATACTTGGCACAAAACGGGAGGGCAGAGGGCAACAGATTGTTGATTGTCTGACTGGAGCAATCAATCTAAAATGAGTCATTTTAGGGCGCCTGGGTGGCTCAGTCGGTTAAGCGACTGCCTTCGGCTCAGGTCATGATCCTGGAGTCCCGGGATCGAGTCCCGCATCGGGCTCCCTGCTCGGCAGCGAGTCTGCTTCTCCCTCTGACCCTCCTCCCTCTCATGCTCTCTGTCTCTCATTGTCTCTCTCGCAAATAAATAAAGTCTTAAAAAAAAATTAAAATGAGTCATTTTATTTATTAGGGTGAAATTCCTGTGGTTAGTCAGGTACAACTTGCTGACCTAAACATTACAAGCAAAAACCTGCCAGGATTCTCTTCCTTCTCTCCAAAGGCTTCCCACATATTATTTGAGAGTCTATTTCCACTGTGTCTTTTCCCCACCAAACACCTGATGCTGGTGGGAATTCATCTCCCACCATTCCTAACCCCAGCATAGCAATCCTGATAGATTCACTACCATCCCTACTTTCTATAGGCTTGGCCAGATGTTTCTGGGGTGTATTAGTCTCTCTGAAGAGTAAGAAGTTAACAATACAGTTCTAGGATCTCTCAGATGAATGTGTCTAGGAAAAAACAGTGGAACTATGATCAAAATACATGCCTCAGCTCTGAACTACAGAAGGATGCACATAGAGAAATGCTAGCTGTGGGTTATTCCGGCAAGGACTTTAATGGTTTATCAGTGTGCGCAGTAAAGGATTAACTTCGCCTAAAGAAAGGATTGGCCCTTGTCCCTGGCTCCTAGATGGACACTTCTAAGCCTTTGGTATGACCTGCCAGATAAGAGTATCTTTGTTTCCCCAGGGGGCCTTGGGCCACAGGATCTCAGCTCAACGTCTAGAGAGGCCAAAGACTAAGGTCAGCCATGCAAGCAGCCAGTCCTGCTGGCACGGCAGGCCCCTAACGTGAACCCTGGACACCACGCTAACGTGAGTTTCTCAGGATGGTAATACCCCACGTGTGTTCCCACATATCCCTGCTGGAAAAAGCCAGCACTGTCCACACAACTCCGCTGGGAAAAAGGACAACTGGAGGCTCCACACTTGGTCCCTCCCGGGCTCTGCTCTATGTACCTCCTTCCTTTGCTGATTTTACCTGGTATCCTTTCACTGTAATAAACTGAAACAGGAAATAACAGCTTTTCTGAGTTTCATGAGTCCTTCTAGCAACCTAAGGGTGGTCTTGGGAAACTCCTGAACTGTCCAATATCCCACTCTGTACTTGTTCTCAGGATTAAACTGCACACAACAGGAAAAAGTCTCATCCTGAATACTATTTATAGACTCACTAAAAAACTTACAAGAAAAACTGAAGAAAAAGATGAACACATGGCTGTGGCGATGCACAAGCACACAGGAGGGCGTATAAGCCGTCCTCATAATTCACGGCTAATCAACATAGGCATAATACCATTGTGCTGTCCATTAATTTTTGTCCATTCAACTTTTGCTTGGTTTTTCTTACAACCCTAAATTCTGCTCATGTAGGTGCTTTCCATTAAAAAAAAATTTAAAGAGAATACTGTACATTTGTAAAATATTTTATGAACTACTAGGTCTTATCTATATTTTTTTAAAGAACGATGAGATTTTTTTTAAGATTTCTGAATCAGTTAATGATTAATTTGAAACCACTGAATCATGACGAGATAGTGCATGATACACATACACAACCATTCTCTCATCTTTTCAGTACTTACACTTGTAAGCAGATGTTTAAGATGGTCATTTAGAGAAGGACCGACAACGACACTCAGCTGCACAAGAGCATTCAGTCCTCTTGCAAACACTTCATCATCCAGGTGGACCTGGGGGGTTAGTTGGGACAGGAAAGGAAAGAGGAGAAAAGGAAAGTTAAGTAAGAAGAAAGGTCAAACCAGAAAAAAGTAAGATTGAACATTCAAAATCAGAAGATAAGCAACTAAACCCAGAATCAACCTTTAATGCCAGACCATCTAGAAACAAAGAAAATAAATTTCCGGCTTGACTGAAACACTAGCTAAACCATATTGCAGCATGCAGCAAGCCTGATGTGAGGTTTATTACTTTCTCTAATTACTCAAAATGTCCCCTTTTATCTTTCGCATATCCTCTAAAGGCGTCTTCAAATAAGTAATCATCTGTCCCTGAATAATGGTGGCCTAATTTTGCACGCACATCAAAATCACAGGTAAAGGACCAATTTGCATATAATTTGGAAGAAAAAAGACATAAAATACTCTAAACGTACCACAGAAAGTCCAAAAGAATAGAAAATTACCAGAGCTGCCTTTAGCGCAGGAATCAGTCTTGGAAGCAAAGGTACAGCTTTCTCAGGAGCTCCTTGGACCAACAGTAATTCTCTAAAACCCTCCTTTGACACAAAGGTGTATGGATGTTTAGTCTCTCTCAAACCCTGCCAAAGACAAAATGAACAAACAAGACTTACTACGCACCTGGTTATGCTAACAACAAAATTAAATCCTCACTAGTCTAAATGAAAATCAAGCTTTATTATGGTTTTCCTAATCATGATTTATAATTTCAGTAATTACGATTTCAATTAAACCCAGAAATTGTGGAACAAAGGACATACATGAGACAGGAAGAATTTCTACCCACAGCAAGGAAGAAAAATGTTTTAAAAATGAAAGGAACAGGAAAAAGGAAAGGAAAAGCAAAGGAAAAATAAAGGAAATAAAGAAGAAAGAGAAAGGAAGGAGAGGAAAGGTAAATAAGTAAAAGAAAAAAGAAAAAGAAACCCTAAGATATTGAAAACATTTTGTATATACTCCCAAATACTGCCTGAAAGCACAGCAACTCAATCTCAAATGCTGGTTTATAACCACCACTTTATGGACATAATTATTGGATCTCCTACCTTTATGGTGACTTTGCAACTTGTTTAATGAGTTTCTAAAGTATTATATTTCCTTTATATTTAAATATTTTACATTAAGGTATTTTAAAACATCTTTTCCTATGTTCGAAAACGACTGTAAGATTTTAAATGTCATTTTTAACTTTGGGGTGTGAAATAAAAATATGAAAAAAACCTGTATCATTTCTTTCACCCTAAATGCATCAGAAACTATTAGTACTCTTTTATGATTTAACCCATCACTTTGAGTCAAGACAGAAGGGCCATCTGGCTTTTTTTAAAAACATCAAACAAAAAAAGCAACAGCAATACTCCCTCAGTTGGACTTATTATTTTCTGTGAATAAGTATAACTGGCTACAAAGTCATGCCTAAAAATACTAATTTTCAACCAATTTGTCCTTTGGACCAAACTGTCTGCTTCCAAATAGTGATTCAACACTTCCGTTCCTGGATGCTTTTGAAAACTGTGCTGCCAAGCACACCAGCACCACTTTGGACCACAGGTTCTAGCATCTTAAGAGTGCCCCTATCCCCCTATCCCGTTCATTTTAGAGATGAGGAATCAGGTCAAGAGGTGAAGTGGATTCCCATAGCGGTGGTCCTGTCAGTACTTCCCCATTATTAAATGAGTAGAGGGGAAGGCTAAGAATCTACCCAACACAGAAATAAAGGCATTGGGTGTTTGGAAAATAATTATTTAAAGGACTGACCTTTATGTGATCTTCACTAAACACAGACTCCCTATAGGGACTCCCCAAATTAAAGCACTCCCCTCCCCTTGTGGTTAGCTGGAGCATGTTTTCAAAGGTGTCACTATGGTACTGATTCATCGAAAAAACGGTTTAAAATTCTTAAAAGAACAAATGAAATACTGATATATTTTAATCTTTTTTTTTTTTAATTTTTTTTTTTTTTTTAATTTTTTTTTTTTTTTTAATTTATTTGAGAGAGAGAGAGAGAGAGAGAAACAGCATGAGAGGGGATAGGGTCAGAGGGAGAAGCAAGCTCCCCGCTGAGCCGGGAACCCGATGTGGGACTCGATCCCAGGATTCCGGGATCATGACCTGAGCCGAAGGCAGTCGCTTAACCAACTGAGCCACCCAGGAGCCCCTATTTTAAGCTTTTAATACCAAGTTTAAAAGACTTTATCAAAATTGAATTTCAAATAGGCTACCCATAAAAATACACTGCTATCATACCAAAATGATTTTGCAATAAATTAAAAATAAAAGACAACAAAAATGATCCTTAGCTCTTAAAAAAGACAAATATCTATAACTTAAATATAAGACAACAGGTTAATTCATTTCTCAACTTGTGACTCTAGCAAAAGGAATAAATTTCACAGAAGAGATCACTGATTCACCTCAAGCTAATACTCTGCCAACTTTTTCCTGATATAAATGTTAAATAATATAAAGGAATTTATCAGAAGTTTTCCTAAAATCCTCTATCAAAATGATGTCCATGATATTCTACTCAAAATGTAAAGGCAGGCAAAAGTCCAGAGAATTCTCCAAAAGGACGTTTAAGTAGTTAATATCAGTTCCCTAAGAAACATCACATTTACATTAAGCACGACTGGTTGTATAGAAATAGATCAACCACTCATTGTTATCTGATGTAGTTTAAGTTAAACTGCTACTGTTCTCCTGATAGGACTAGTTCCATATGACTCTAAGTGCTTTTATTTTTGGAATTAAGTATGAATATTTCATCCACTTATCCACAAATCTCTGTGTAGACGAACTTGTTTATAAACCCGATTAATCAGTTCCTAATAAACATATACTGATGATAATTAATTCCTAAGGGAGTGCGGTATTTTAATGACTATTGCATGGCTCTTATTTCAAAAGTAAAGAATAAGATTCACTGATGCATTAAAAAATAATATCTAATACAATTTTTAAAGTTTTTTTTTTCCATAAACATTCAGGAAAAATGGAATATACATTTACCTCAGCTAAAGTAATAAGAAGAGGATCAAATGGAAGATTTTCAGGAGGACATTCCCACTGTAATCTGTGTTTCACTGAACCATGGACCAATCTAAAATAATAAACATCAGTGAACATAACATGGACAATGTAATTATATGCTAAGCAGTAATTATGAAAGGATATTACAAAGACATCTTATGCAGCCATGTCTATAATCCCACAAACTCTTACTCTTTCAGCAAATTGTTTGATGGCGAAACTAAACTTCATATTTGTTAAGCCTACAGTTTCAGAGTTCAAGCATGCTGCTGTCTGTGAGTCTTAATACAAATGCTACACTTGACATGTTTCAGTCATATTTATAACAAAATAGATAACCTACAGATGTGCAAAGAAATGTGATAATGAGAAATAGTGACTTGTTTTATATGGAACATTATTTTTCAGATATGGATCACTTAACCCTAATGATCTGAAGACAAGCCGGATTTTAACCCTGCTAAAACAGACGAAATATGAGGGCAGGAGGTTAAGTAGCCCACACAAGGTTACAAAGTGGTAGCCCTTTCAATTAGAGTCATTGCTGCTTTTTTTTTTTTTTTTTTACAGCCTTTACTGAGGCATAACCAACATTCAATAGGGGCACCTAGGTGGCTCAGTCAGTTATGCGTCTGCCTTTGGCTCAGTCATGATCTTGAGGTCCTGGGATGGAGTCCCTTGTTGGGCTCCCTGCTTGCTTAGCGGGGAATCTGCTTCTCCCTCTCCCTCTGCCTCTGCTCCCTCCCCCCACTTGTGCTTTCTCTCTCTCTCTCAAATAAATAAAATCTTTAAAAAAAAAAATAACCAACATTCAAAAACCTGCACATGGTTATAAAGTGTAAAATTTAATATAAGTTTTGATGTGTGAATACATCAATGAGCCATCATCATAATTATGACAGTGAACTTATATATCACCCTCAAATGTTTCCTCACACTTCTGTAACATTCTCAACTTCTTGACACCTTCTTTAGCATCATTTTCTTCATAGCAAGAGGCCTTGGTAACATTTTTACTATTTTAGCAATCATAATTGCTTGGAGTGGGAAAGGGGGGGTATAAGAACCTTAAAATACAGTTTCAACTCAGAATGTAAATAAAAAAATACTAACAATAAAATGAAGAGTGCTTCTTGAGCTTATTCCTCCAAATCTGCAAATACCATTAAAAACTACATTTCTTGAATTTTAGAACAACAGAATGTTGTGATCACTCTTTTCACAATGAAAATGACACTTTCCATCATCTAGAACAGTCTAAAACTGGATATACCTAGAAGAAATAAATGTTTCTTGGTAGTGAAATCTTAAAATGGTATCACTCTATTAGTAACTATATTGTTTTCTTTAAAACAGTTCTGATGTGTATCCTGAAAGGTGGCAAGAACTGTATGAAAAGTGAGCAAAAACAGCTGTTATGTACTTATTTAGAAATATAATTTTTTGAAATTTTTGAAATACCATTTCAAAAAATAATGAACAGTTTCATTAAATTGTCAACTTTCAGTTTACAAACAAAATAGGACTATTTACTTGCAACTTGCCCAAGCATGTGAAGGCTTATATTGTTTCAGAAACTGGTTCATTCAATTTCTTAAATTATAGATCTATTGGTAATTCTATTTTGGAATTAAAATGATCTTCAACAATGTCCCACGATCTATACCAGTCCAACAGCCAAAGCATGAATAAGTCACCTTTATTTCAACCTCCTTAGTAAATAAAATTTTCAATACATTTAAACTAACTACTGTTATTGGTTTTACTCAATTATTTTGAATAATATGGTCAGTTATAACCTGTATTGATTTTACCTGCAAGGAATACCTCCTTTAGAGTAAATGGCTGCAAATGCAGAAGGAGCTCGTGACTGTTCCCCAAACTGAAATAAAAAATGACAAGAATACGATAAATATACTATCACCTCCACTTTGTGATGATACCTAATCAATTTTAATCCTGCTGAGGTCAGAGGCGAATGGACATCCTGACTTTCAGCCCATGACACTGGTATCAGGTGCATCACTCTACTCAGCAACACAACTGAGGAAAATTACCAATCCTCTCAGTACTAGAACCACAACCACACATTCTATATTTCGTTTATACCCCTAACTTGTTTTGGGAGGCTTGAAGGCAGCTGGAATCACATGTATAGTAAATATAATACAGATAAATACTATTAAGAATGAACATCACAAATAAATATAATAAAGGCAATACATCATTCTACTCTCCACCACTATGACCTTTCAAGGTGAGGGGTCCGTGGAGAAGAAGAGGTAAGTATAGGGAAAGCAGATTTGTTTTCAACCTCCAGCACATCTCCTACTTGTCCTCCAGGCAAATATAGATGTCTGGATGGCCAGAGAACCTGTAATTTCCCCAAACTTGTTTTATGCTTCTCTAAAAAAGAAAGGCTTAGAATGGGCAGGGGTGATAGAACTGAAGACAGAGCAAGGCTCTCACAAACATATGCCTGGATGTATCTGCTCAGATACAGAACTTCACAACTTTCAGTTTGTCTATGTATTCTCTTAAGAATAAATTAACTCTATTCCCAAAGACCATGTAAGAGGTGATCAAGCACAACAGCTCAACAATCACAGCATACATAATTTCAATACAGTTGATCAGAGACACAGATAATTTAGGCACAAAAAGTAAATATTTTATCACATGGTACTTTGAACATAATCAAATGAAATATAGTTGTCTAAATTACAAAACACAAACTTATTAACCTATTTTAAAGATAAAACTAGCTACAAAATATTTTAAAATCACATGCAGTAATTAAAAAATATATTTAAGGGTATAAGTTTAGAATTAGCTCTTTTTCCTCCAGAAAAACACGTTTGAAGTTAAAACACATAGATGAAATTTCAGTATCATACAGTATTATAGTAAGATTCATTTACAAACTTTAATCCACATTCTGCATAATAATTCACAGAAATAGTAATGTTTCATTCATCTAATTATAATTCCTACTAAGAAAAGTATGTTTTAAAAACTGTTTTCATGTAATCTTATTAAATAAGGGGACTTGAAAACATGTTCTTATAATGGGGGAAAAATTAAGACAACTTAGGGCCACAGACACTTTTTTTAGTTCTAGCACCTATTAGCAAATGATCTTACTTTTTGGACCTACAGGTCATGTAAATAATCCCTAAATTTCCAAAACACCCACCAAGACAAAATTTCTGATTGAAATTCTAAGCAATTCCTTTCCTTTCTTTTTCAACTCGTTTTAGAGATAATCATAGTTTCATCTTCTAGGTTGCACATTATCAAAAATGCTTTTTCTACCAATGGGTTCTTTTTATAAATTTTTACCAAATTTTACCAAAATTCTAATACCATGAAAAAAACTTTATCCTTTCAATTTTTAACAATTATCACGGACCATATTTCAACTCTAAAATACTCAACATTATTAAATATACCCCACTATACTGAGTTAATTTTTTTTTTTTTTTTTACATTCAAAACCAATGAATTCTCCAAAACAAACAGTGGTATAACAACACTCAGGTGTGGAAAACCTGAATGTTACCAGCACCCTAGAAACCTCCTCAGTGCCTCATCCCAATCCCTAACTACCTCTTCCCCCAGTGGTGAACTCTGACTTACTTTGGATTGGTAGCTTTTACAGATCTTAAACATGGTCTTGTATAATATACTGTATTCTCAGGTCAAATCATTATTTCTCAAAATTTTCCTTCAATTTTTTTTTTAAAGATTTTTATTTATTTATTTATTTGACAGAGAGAGAGAGCGAGAGAGGGAACACAAACAGGGGGAGTGGGAGAGGGAGAAGCAGGCTTCCCGCGGAGCAGGGAG